GGGGGGGGGGGAACAGGAGTGAACTGTCACTTCATAGTGCAAGGAAAAGAAAGCACCATGCAAACTTTTTTTCAGAAAACTGTCTCAAAAGTGCTTTTTCAAAAAAGCAACTGGATTGTGGATTTTTTTTTTCAGAGGAGGAGGAGGAAGAGGAAGAAGAAAAAGAAGGAGAAGGAGAAAGAGGAGAAGGAGGAGGAGAAGGAGAAGAAGGAGAAGGAGCAGGAGGAGAAGATGATTAGCTTCTCATCCAAGAGACTTCATCAATTCTGGCAGGATAGTGGGGCAATAGAAGGATTGGTTCTGATAGGGTGATGGAAGAAGAATCATATTTCTTTGCAGTCATCTGGTCATTGGCACTCTCCCTGAAAGATCCTGAGGCCACTTGGGGGGTTTATCTGGGCCCTAAACCCTAAAACCCCAAGTGGCCTCAAAAGCTCTCAAGGAGAGTGCCAACGACCAGAAGACTGCAAAGAAATATGATCTTTCCAACCTCCCCCATCCTGTCAGAATTAATCCTTCCGTCACCCCCACCAACCTGCCAAAACCAATGAAGCTTCTTGGATGAGAAGCAAAACATCTTCTTCCTCAAGGGGAAATAAACAACAGCCCAGTTGCCTTTTGAAAAAGCACCTTTGAGACAAGCATGACCTGGATGACTAAGAAACTCCACATCTTTTTTTTGCTGCAACTCCCCTTCAATCTGTATGGACTTTCCCAAGATCCCGTGTTCTGAAGAAAACTCTGGAATTGTTGATGAAACTTTCGGAGCCACAAGAGGAGCTCCTGGGGGAAGAGAAGGGCTGGATGACCAAAGAGGCGGTATATGTACCTGATCCTCCGAAAAATACTATCCAAATCTTTCTTCATCTCCACCAATGTCCGGGTGTGGTGAAGGAAGCGTTCATTCATTTGCTGCATTCGGACACCAGATAGGTTGTTAAAGTTGAGTAGCATCTCGTTGGTTTTCTCAAATCGGTCAAGCCTGAACAGGAAGGCAAGGGGTTGAATTAGACAGGTGCAAATAGTTCTGTGAACATGATGAGGATCTTCTAACACTAGGGTGTCAAACTCAATTCCATTGAGGGCCAATGTGACGGCTTGGGGCGTGGCACAAAGGTAACACAGTCACATGTAAGAAAAGTCCCTTTAATACCTCCGACTTTGCCCCCAATGTCTAGTTACCTTCAGCTGGAGAAAAAACACTCCCAAGAACAGTCTTTAAGTGGAAGAAATTCAATCCGAAAACAAAGTACATATAAACTGTAAATAAAAATCCACACAAACCACGCTGCAGCAATTAATTGGACAGGGCAGGATAAGGAATTGCAGACTTCAAAGGCCAACAATACACACACTTGGGAAGACGCCAGGAACCCAGATAAGCCTTGACAATAAAAGATAACTCATGATTTGCTTCCAACAAGTTGCTGTCCGCAAACTCCCTTTTTAAACACTGTGTTACTAGCTGCAGCTAATGAAGGGAATCAGGGCCCTTTCCTCCCCTATAAGCCACGCAACTCATGTTGCTCCCTTCTCTGTTCCTCCCTGCGTGCCCTAGGATGAAGGTGGGGGGCAGGTTGGATCTTCCTCTGAATTTCCTCTGCCTTGCTCTACCTCTCCCCTGCTCTGCCCAGCCGGACTGTGCCCTTCCCCAGTTTTTTCCACAGCCAATGGAACCACACTCCCACTCCCTGTCAGCTGTTCAGCCTCCCCCTCGGAATCAGATTCCGACAGAGGCATGACAGCCGCATCAGCATTATGGTTGCCTTCAAAGGGCCAGTTGCATGTAAGACTATGTATCATGTTAGTTCAGGAATGTATTACGTCTGGGGTACAAGGGGGCTGCACTCTTCACGGCACTCTGAAGATCCCAATAACCTGAGACCAGAGAGTCTGAGTAATAGAGAGACTGAGCCACAGATCTCTCGCCCAGGGGGAAAGCAGCAGCTTTCCAGGAAGCACGTGCACTTCAGCAGGGCATGGCTCTGGTTTCTTGACTAGTTTTGTCCCGGACCCAGAGCACGCAAGTCTCCCATCTTGCATTTCCTCGCATCTATCAGCTTTGGAAGCCATATTAGAATCTCCCACTTCCTCACCACCACATTCTTGAGCCTGGGAAAGTGGGAGGGGGGGAAGTTTTTGGAGTGTATGTGGTTAGACATAATAGCATTCTTCTTCTAAGTCAAGGTCATGTTATTTCTGCACCTGGGTGAGAGGACATCTCAAGTTGGGACAGATGGTGATTGGGGCATGTGATGCAATGGTGGGTGCAGGGGGTGGATTTGTAGTTTTTACTTATTGCAAGGAAGTCTGGAACTTCCAGATTCAGGATTCCCCACATGTGCCAGTTTGCTATCCAAATAAAACAAAACTTTTGAGAGGATGGCTGTCTCGGAGTTATTTGTTGGAGTGGAAGTTTTCTGGAACGCTGACGGCATCTTTGGGGAAAAGTCTGCGAGGTGAGTAGCTACTTGTAAGAAAGTGCAGCACAGACGAAGGAAGAGGAAGGGGGAAAAGTGGTGAGGCAGGGAGAGGGGAGAACTGAAGAAACACACAATCCGAGTGCCTTCCATTCTTTCTCTTTCCTTCCCTCCCTTTCTTCCCCTCGCCAGCCACTCGCTCTTAGGCAGAGGGGCTGTAGCCATGCCCGCCCACCCTTGCGGTTACCACTGCCGCACAGCTCCACGTGTTGGGAGAGGCTCCCTCTGCCCGCCCTCTGCTAGCGCTGCTGCCACTGACAAGACACCAAAAGAAGTGAGGAGGTAACTACTCAATCACCTCCTTCTCCTAGCCTGCTTGTGGGCCAGGTCTAAACACATCACGAACCAGATCTGGCCTGCAGGTCTTGAGTTTGTCTGTTTTAACAAAAGTACGACAAGTAGTCTTTGCAACTATTGGTTCAGTGGCCATTTGATGTTCCAACAGCATTCAACGAAGGGACTTATGAGCCATACCCTAAGTTACGGCCGTCGCAGCACCTCCAAGGTCACATGATCAAAATTCAGGTGTTTGGCAGCCCGAGGACACTCATGACTGGAGGAGCGCCACAACTTCCCTCATTCTCTGATCTCTCCCGCTCCAACATTTATCCTTTTGGCCACCTTGCAGAGTGGCACTCAGAGGAAATGTAACAGCTGAGGCTGAAATAGAGACCCAGGGCCCTCAGCTGCCACTGCCCTCACACCTCTACTTCAGCCCCAGAGCTGCCACTGAGAAATGCGCCTCAACTCCCAGATTGTAGCCAAACACCCCAGCATCACTGTGCAAAGTCCCAGTTGTAGGGGTGGGGCTCAAAAATTTTACCAAAGAGTTCTCGGCCCAGTTGCTGGGTGGGCATGGCCATGGTGGGCGTGGCCTAGTTGGCCTCCTGCACCACGGCCGGGTGGGGGGCATTTTTGCCCTTGCTGGGCTCCGGAGGCTTTCCTTGAACCTCCAGGAGAGTGAAAACGGCCCCTCTGGGCTCCAGAGACTCTCTGGAAACCAGAAACAGGCCCATTTCCGGCCTTCCCGAACTTCCGGGAGGCCCTCCCTGAGCCTCCACACACGCCCTGCACTTTACCTTCATCCAAAACGGGCCGTGTGGAGACTCCTGGGAGGAGTGGGGTGGGATGGGCAGGGCCAGCCAGGAGTGGCATTTGGCGGTTCTCTGAACTGCACAGAATCTTAGCTAGGGATTCTCCTGAACCCCTGCAAACCCCCAGCAGCCCACCCCTCTCCAGTTTCCCCTATCACCCTATGCTCTAAAGGCCCTGTTGTGCTTAAATGACCATCATTTTCTCCCGTTGCTGATGAGGCACACCTGGCTTAGCCTACATATGCAAGGCAGCTGCTGGCTGCACAAAGCCTTCTTCCCAGGGCCGCTTGCGCCATTCTCCAAATTGTGGGTGCGACGCATCGTCCAAATAGCACACCCCATTCTTGCAATACTTCAGAAAGCTGCTCTCATGCCCCTGACGGAGTCTGAATCTGAGGAGGAAGATGAACAGCTGACAGGGAGTGGGAGTGTGGCTCGTTGGCTGTGGAGGAAACTGGGGAAGGGCAAAGTCCGGCTGGACAGAGCAGGGGAGAGGTAGAACAAGGGAGAGGGAGTTCAGAGAAAGACCCAGGCCCACCCCCTCTTCATCCTAGGGCACGCAGGGAGGAATGGAGAAGAGAGCAACATGAATTGCATGGCTTACAGTGGAGGAAAGGGCCCTGATTCCCTTCATTAGCCACATTTGGAATGAGAGTTTAAAAGAGATGGAAGCTGAGTGTGGCGTCTTCTGAGAACAAACATGAGTTTATCTTTTGTCGACTTTGGTTATCTGCGTTCCTGGCATCCTCCCAACCATGTTGAATTACTGCCGTCTGGAATTCCTTCTCTTGCCCTGCCGGACTAATTACCTCATCTTGCCTTGATTGGACTTATAGTTACAGTTTTTGTTGACCACGTTTTGGACTTGAATCTCTGCAGCCAAAGGCTGTTCCTGGGAGAGTTTTTCTCCAGCCAGAAGGTAACCAGGACACTGGGGGCAAAGTTGGAGCTAATAAAGGGACTCCGACTGATTATCTGACCGTGTTGCCTTTGTGCCACGCCCTGGGTAATCACAGCTTCTGAACTGTTCCTTGGATCTCACAAGAACAGGCACACTACAGATAGTCCTTGACTTATGATCACAATTGAGCCCAACATATCTGTTGCTGAGACGGTTAAGTGAGTTTTGTCTCATTTTACAACCTTCCTTGCCACAGTCGTTAAGCGAATCACTGTAGTTTTTAAGTTACTAACATGGTTCTTAAGTGAATCTGGCTTCCTCATTGACTTTACTTGTCAGAAAATCACATAAGGTGATCGCATGACCCTGGGACACTGCAACCACCATAAATATGAGTCAGTGGTCAAGCATCCCAATTTTAATCCCATGGGTTTGTTGCAACAGTTGTAAGTGTGAAAAACGGTTGTAAGTCACTGTTTTCAGTGCTGTTGTGACTTTGAATGGTTGCTAAACAAATGGATGTAACTCAAGGACTACCTCTGTTTGGAGAATGCAGGCAAGCCATTCTTCAAGTGCTTTGCAATGCTTCCCAACAGTTTTGTCCAATGGGAAAGTGCCAAGGGATTTGCTTTTGCCAGCTCACTTCCTGCTTTTTTCACTTCCTGCCTTCCACATTGGATGGCATTCTTACAGTATTGGCATCATGCTGTGGCTTCCTAGGGCGTGGCAAGCAGCCCCAAGCAGTTTTTCCAGTGAACGCATCCTTCAAATGGTTCCCCTTCCTTGTGGGATCTATGGACTGAGTTGCTTATACAGTATATGAGATTGGAATGTGGGTTTGTTTTTAAAAGGTTTTCAGTAGGCGAGTACCTACTGGTTTGATAACTGGCAGGATAGAAAATGAAGGAAAAGACATACCCAGTATGTCTTCGCCTCCTTTCCACGTGGTGCATTTCAAAAAATGTTTACCACCGGTTTTGTGGGTGTGGCTTGGTGGGTGCTCTTTGTGCACGCGCACCAAACACGCACTTTGCACAGGTGCCGAGGCTTTCCGACTCACCTCCTGCAATCCTGCACTCTCCCTGTCGCTTCAGCAGCTGCTGCGCAGCACTCTGCTGTGCTTCAAAAGCAGGAAATAAAGGTTATTATGGGAGCCCGGGCAGGCAGGTGGGTCCAACAGTAGAGTGCCAGCGACAACTGGTTTGGTACCCGCTGCTCATAGGCGCTACCGGCTCTGCAGAACCGGGCCAAACCGGTAGAATACCACCACTGCTCCTTTCCCTCTAGACCAGGGGTGTCAAACGTCGTCACGGTGGTGTCATGTGACGTATCGCGACTCCCCCCCCCCTTCGCTAAACCGGGTGTGGGCATGGCCAGCGTGTGATGCATTTAGCCCATGGGGGACGAGTTTGATAGCCCTGCTCTAGATTAAAAAAAATCAAGAGAAAAGAATAAGTGATGCAAGAAGTAAATTATTAGCTGGCAAAAGGAGAGAGACAGACAGGGAAGTTTGCTAGAATCCAAGTAATACAATGCTGTAAAAAAATGCATGGCACTCACATGTTCTTCTGAGCCAAGATGATAGCATTTACATCTTCGGAGTTCACCATGCTGAGCACACGGCTGCAGAAGACACCCGAGGCAGTAGGTTCCATCTTAGACAGGCACTGAAATCTGCCAAACACCAGAGTGGGAAGAAAGATACACGATGATGAGTAAGAAAACATCCTCTGGGTTTAGAGAGGTGATACAACCTCTCATGACTTGAGAGAGAGAAAAAAAAAAGCTTTATATTATCTATAAGAAAGAAACAAAGCATCCTTCAAAGAAAATAATACCAGCGAGGAACATAAATTATACAGTGGTGCAAAAGGGGAAGCAGAAAAAGCTCTGCCAGGCCTGCCCCCAACTAGATCCCTAGGAAAGAAAGACCCTCGACTACATTGGGATGAAGTGATAGAGTTGTTGTTTTTTTTACTGAGGATTAGTGCTTGCAGCAAAAGCAAGGCAAGATCTGGTTCCTGTTCAATGTCCTCCCTCCCCACCTTATACCTTGCACAACTTTCTTAGCTTCCCCTGCCCCCTCCCTCTATTCATGGCAGGATGACAGCAAACTTAGCGAAGATGGCAGAGTTGACAAGCCTTTTCCCAGATACTGGCTTAATCACCAACTTTTCAAGAACTCACATTTTTTTCCATGCCATAAATAAATGTATTGATGTAGGACCTTAGGAGGAAAATGTCAGTGGGAAAAGTGTGCATACTTGTCCCCCACCTCTTGCCTCCAAGGGTGAGAAAAGCAAATGCTGCTGTCCAGACTGGCCCACCACACCCATGAGATTTTGATCCTGTGGCGAGTAGGAAGCTCATTTGCCACAATCAGTTAGAACATTGGATCTCTGAAATATTTTCTGTCTCCCCAAGCTGTCCTTTTAAAGACCATTCCTCTGTTTAGTACAGGAAAAAAAACACCACCCCATTAAAGCATCCACAATACATGACTGTCCAAGCCTTTGTTTCAATACCTCAGTGAAAGGGTGGCCAGATCACCTCTGGGTAAATGGCCCCACTGTTGAACTGTTCTCCCTATTCATAAGATTTCCCAAAGATTCATTTGGAGTCCTGCTTTCTGCAATGTAAAGCTATTATTTGTTTGCTTATTCATTTATTTATCCAATTTCTATAGCCACCCAACTCAACCAAGCGACTCCAGGTAGCTTACAGTTCTAAATTGTTGCCTGGCCTGTGTTCTGGGACAAGGGAAAAACAGTGACATTCTTAGAATCCCAGAACTCAAAGGAATCAATTTGGCTACGAAGTCCCTTAGTACAGGAATCCAAATGAAAACATCCATAGCAGATAGCTATGACTTACGACCATAATTGGGACTGGGATTTCTGTTGTTAAGCAAGGCAGTCAAATAAGTTGTGCCTAATTTTACAATCTATTTTGCCACAGTGGTTAGATGAATCACTGCAGCTGTTAAGCGAAACATGTAGTTGTTAAGTGAATCCACTTAACATTGGCTTTGGTTGTTGGAAGCCAGCTGGAAAGATTGCAAACGGCAATCAATGACTCCAAGATGCTTATAACTGTCATAAATACATGCTGGTTGCCAAGAGCTTAAATTTATATGATTGGGGATGCTGCGAACTTTGTAAGTGCGAGAACCAGTCATAAGTCACTTTTTTCAGTGACATTGTAACTTTGAATGGTTGCTAAATGAATAGTTGTAAGTCAAGGACTACCTGTACTTAGTCTGGGCCTTCATGCATCCAATGAAGGCCAGCCCACCTTCTGACTGGGTCATTGATACCATTGCCAGGTTAATACCAATAGTCATAGGTGCCTTGGGTGTAATCCCAAAACAATTGGATTGCTGGGGGAAATATGCTGATTCATCTTAGAGTGGGCTGCAAAGCACTATGAAGCAGGATATAAATCTAAGTGCAATTACTATTGCTATCATCACTATTGATACATTCCTCATCAGTCAATTGCAAAAGGCAGCTTTACTCAGAACAGCTTATACACTGCAATAATATCTGTAACACCATCAAACATCCACACCTGCCTATCCCAGGTCCTTGGGAAATACCCCGACAGGCAGACCAAGATGCCAAATCCAGTCTGAACATGTAGCTGTCTGTTTGACCAACCATAATTTACCAAAAAGCTACTTGACTGGGTTACTAACCAAATCCATTTCCTGGGTTCATATAATACACTGAATTATGATATTTGCCAAATGGGGTAGCTTTGCAGCAGATTTAACCATACCTTACAGACAAAGGCACAATGCTGTCAGTGGATTTAGAAGACCTTCTCTCAAACACAACTGAAGTTGTGGGAGTATCACTGGAAGCCTTCAAGAAGACAGACTGCCACCTGTCAGAAATAGTGTAGGGTCTGCTGGGTGGGTGGGGGGTTGGACTAGATGACCTACAAGGTCCCTTCCAACAGATTAACAATCTGTTAAACTACATTTATTATACGCCACCCAACTCCCAGCAACTCTGATTTTTATTCTTCAGGAGTCTTCAATCAAAATCTCCCTTCTTGCAATACATGATTCCGACCATATCCCAAACTTTTTTTAAGGGCAGCATGTCTCAACTTTAGCCAAGTCGATGATGGGCGGACTTCCACTCCCAGAATTCCCCAGCCAAGCATGGAGTTGGAAGTCCACTTACCGTCAACTTGCTGAGCTTGAGAAACGCTGCCCCAGAGCCATGGGACACCAGACCTCCCAACTCCCACCAGTAGGTGCAACCTCTAGCCGGCGCTTGTGCGCAAGAGTGGGAAGTATAATGCAATTTGCACCCATCCTCTTGGGATGGTTGGGAATTGTAGTTTACTCTACCCAAGTATTACCAGATTTGTGTGTGTGTGTGTGTGTGTGTGTGTGTGTGTGTGTGTGTGTGTGTACGCGCAAGTAGGTGTCCTTGCCTCGAGAGCAGGTGTAACCACGCCTATTGTCCCTACCTGTGAAGGACTGAACCAGCCAACGGATCACATGTCGGACGCTTTAAAGGGGATCCGCGGACGGGAGCGGGGGGGCGAGCGAGGAGGGAGGGAGACCGAAAAAAAGTTTCCCTTCTTCTCAAACCCACCACCGAGTGTTAACTCCGGCCATAGACCCAGGGCAGCACGCTCACTTCCGGGTTGGGCTGAGGATCACGTGACGCGCGCGACCTCGCTAGCATTTTTTGCGTGCCTTACGTTCGAGGGAGGGCGGGGGTTTCTCTTGGAAACGGAGGAGCCCGTTCAGCCCCGCCCCGCCCCGCCGCGGCCCCGCCCTCCCTCTGTTTTCATTGGACAAAACGTTGCCAGCGAGGAACCGCCCCCAAACACCCAGCTAGACTGAATTCTGGACAGGGAGATTGAAAGGCCGGGAGGGCCCTTTAAAAAGTGGCAGCGGGCGAAGAGTACCTCTGGGAATGGGCAGAGTGTGTTTCTACGTAGACAGCAAGGTAGGCACAACTGGGTCTCGGGGGTTTCTTCCTCCTGATCTTCCCCTCCCCCCTCCCCACCTTCCATCGAACATGATCTTGCTACGCATGTGCAGAATGCCATTCTGTGCAATAAATTACAGACGCCCAAGATTTGGGAATACAGTACGTAGAATGCATTTCTGGTGAAGCCATGCAGGGGGAAAAAAGGTCTTGGTCTGTGCAGGGCTTCTTGGAAGGCTCGGGGAGGGTGTGCAGCAAGATGGCATGAAGCACTCTATAGTTTCTCTGCAGAGGGCAAGGCAAACCGCAAGGTTTTTTGCCCCAGTAATTCAGAAAAAGGATATCAGATAGCAGGACCGGACGCGTAGAATTAGAAATATGCACGGTGCATGCTTTGTATGCAGTAAACATAACTGCTTTGCAGGGTTTCTGGGCATGTGCAGAATGTAGGCTTTCTTCTCAGGCAGCAAGATGGCTGTATCTCTCGTGCAGATCCTTGAAATGTATTTCACCAGCAGTTGGAACTGCCATGGGCATAACTGTGTTTACTCAAGCCAAGGCTTGTTTTTCCAAATGATAAAAGTACTCTGTTGAAGATCTGGTAGGTGCGTAAGAATGTCCAGTAGATTTTCTATCAGGAATCTTCTATCAAATCTTGGAGGTTGGGGGGGGGGGGGGGGGGGTGTCATGCATTATATATAGTCAGCTGTTTGAAAAGAGGGGTCCTTGGTACTCTTTGAGCTTGGTTGGTTTCTTGCAAACGTTTCATTACCCAAAGTAGATAACATCTTCAGGTTTTCAGGATCACCGGGACCAGAGGTTTTGTCTTCCAAGCTTTTGGACTCGTGCTGGAGCCCATTTTCTAGCTAGAGAGAAGTTCCTTGAAAATGGGCTCCTCCAGCAGGAGTCTTGGTGACTGATCCAGATCAAATCCTGCAACATTATCCTGGGATATGTATATTCACATTCATTTGTGATCATCACAATTTTGGCAACAGGATGCCATATGTACAATTAATCTGCATTGTGACAGATGTGTCACATACACGCAGATGTGTAAATCCAGCTGCCATGTCATTATTACCCCTGGCCTTCAACGAACTGTCTCCTTTCACTATCTCCTTTAAAAAAGAGCCTTCTTACTGATGATGCCTACTTCTGGAATGTTCTCCCTAAATACATTTGCTTGGTGACTAATTCATTGCCTTTGCAGTGACAAGACTTTATTTTCCTGAGTTTTTAAAATACAATGTTTATTTCACTGGTTATATTATGCCACTATTAAAATTCCTAGCTTTGGGGAAGATTGGTTTTTTGTTTTTGTTTTTTTGTGTGTGTGCATGCTTTCATTTTAACTTGTTATTTTCGCAACCCTTTCCTGGGAATATCACTGAAGTATGTCCTAGAAATATTGAAGTATAAAAATGCTTACAATAAATAAATATAGTGAGATTCAGAGTTCCTCTCTTCTATTGGCAGTAATCATTGCAGTTTTGTGACATTTCTCTTCCCACATGAGAGGAAGGTTACCATTGGACAGTATTTGATCATTTCCAAATGCTTGTTTTGGGCCAACAAATTCATGTATGTATTTCTAAATTTACACAGTAGGAATAGTCATAGAGTTGGACTCTGTTAACAGTTAATGCTTAACTTTGTACTGACTAATCCTGAGGGTGCATTCTGGAAGGCTAGCTAGGTGCTAAAATATTTCCTTTCAAGAACAGAACAAAAGTTAATCTTGTCAAGTATAGTCCCCTAAGGCATGAAAACAATCTCCCTTCTCTTCAAATAGCTATCCTTGAAAGTAAGATATCTCTGGAAAGACTCCATTGCGGGCCATTGGTATTAATTTAAAATAAAGTTTGGGTTGCTAGAGATATTTAGAGTTTAATTTGGAATTATGTGATTTATCATTTTTTTCATTGTGCATAAGATTTTTCCCATTGTTTTGAAAGTTAATTATTAAAGGCATCTTTGGTTTAGGATATAAAAATAACTCAAGAATTTTTTGATCCAGAAAAGACTGGTTCTGTACCTTCTCTTTTCTTTTTCAAACATGGAATCCTTCTGCTTGGGTGGAGGGTTGGACTAGATGACCTACAAGGTCCCTTCCAACTCTGATTATCTGTTAAATCTTGCCTATTTGTCCAGATTTGGCTAGAATTCATGATGATGCCTTCACAACAGCCCTGTATGGTAGGAAGATCGGACCATTCCATCAGATCCAACAGGAGAGGTGTGTTAGGGATATTGTCTAGTAAGGAATATCATTTGATGAAGCCCAAGAAGGGACCTTGTTCTGCTGTGGCACCCCTCCTTTGGAACATCATTCATCCCCAGAACTTAGACTGGTTTCTATCCTTTTGGGCTTTAAGAAGGGCCTGAAAACATGGCTGTGCTATATGGCACTTGGGGTCTGGTGATAGTGGTCAGACATGATTATATTAAATGGGTTCTATTGCTTGTAATTGCCTGCTAACTGTGCTTATGTTTTGTGTTTAATAGTGGTTTTAATAGAGTTGTTTTTATTTATATTTGTATTGTTCTCACTATTGTTTTTAATCACTATGAGCTTCTCAGAGCCACATTTCACTATTAATAACAGAACAGTGTTGGAAGGAACCTTGGAGGTCTTCTAGTCCAACCCCTTGCTCAAGCAGGAGATCCTATACCCATAATGGTGAACCTATGGCATGCGTGCCACAGGTGGCACGCAGAGCCATTTATGCCAGCATGCAAGCCACAGGCAAACTTACCTCACTGCACATGCATGTGCCTCACAGCTGATTTTTGGCTGGTTTGAGGCCTTTTTTGGCCTTCCAGAGGCTTGAAAAAAGCGTCTGCAGGCCAAAGAGGCCCATTTCGTCACTTCCTGTATACTCAAGCCTCTGAAAGGCCGAAAAAGGCCTCAAACCAGCTGGAAATCAGCTGTGAGGCGCAGTGCATGTAACGGGGGGGGTTGTGCGCACATGCGCAGGGGGCGGGGGGGGCGCACATTGCCTTCTGGGTGCTGGCACGCAAGTGCACGAGCACCAGCCGCACACAATTTTGGGCACAGGAGCCTAAAAAGGTTAGTCACCACTGCCCTATACCATTCCAGACAAGTATCTTCCAGTTTCTTCTTAAAAGCCTCCAGTGATGGAGCACCCACAACTTCTGAAGGCAAGCTGTTTCATTGGTTAATTGTTCTCCCCGCCAGGAAATTTCTTCTTAGTTCTAAGTTAGATCTCTCCTTGATTAGTTTCCACCCATTGCTTCTTGTCCTACCTTCAGGTGCTTTGGAGAATAGCTTGACTCCCTCTTCTTTGTAGCAGTCTTCTGAAATACGACTTCAGCAACAGAGTGGTCAATGTCTGGAACACTCTACCTGACTCTGTGGTTTCTTCCCCAAACCCCAAAAACTTTAACCTTAGACTGTCTACTATTGACCTCACCCCTTTCCTAAGAGGTCTGTAGGGGGTGTGCATAAGTGCACCAATCGTGCCTACCGTCCCTGTCCTATTGTTTCTTTTATATTTTTTTTATTTTTCTTATATGTATCCATGTATTCATAACTATGTTTTTACTTATACCTATTATCTTGTAAGCAATTGAATAAATAAATAAATAAATCAATAAATCCCTGAGATATTGGAATACTGCTATCATGTCACTCCTGGTTCTTCTTTTCACTAGTCTAGACATACCTAATTCCTGCAACCGTTTTATGTATCTTTTAGCCTCCCTGTGAGATGGGTGGCTATACAAATTGAATACATAAATTATACATTCCTATAATTCATCTAGTTTTCAGAAAACCTAAAGCTGCAACTGAAAAAGAAATCCATCCCTGCCCTTCATTGCCCTTTTCCCTTTCCATTTCCTAAAACTGTTAAAATTGTAAGTTGAGTGGCTTTGACTGATTTAGTTCAGTGTTTCTTCCATCCTACTTTTCCGGGGAAAAGTGGTGACGATAAACACACTTGTAAATAAAACAAAAGTGCATTTAAATCAGAAACAACAACAACAACAAAGAATGTATTACAGATTCCAGCTGAATAATACAAAAATCAAAGACGAAAACAAAATATTGAACCCGGAGCTTAAAAATAGCAATGCTTTAGCAAATTTTCCCCACTTCTTCTCGTGCTTTGATCTGACCAAGGTAGGATTCTGATAAAACAACGAAACTTTTCCCTAGAATTTTCTAGTTTTACTCTGTGCCTGTTCCTGTCCCTTTAATAGGCGTAGGTGGCAGAAGGAATGGGAGGCTGTGACTTTCAGTCTTTGAGTAACAGCTGGGAAGGCCAATAGCATTTATTTCCTGTGGGCATTGGAGGCACTCTGGGGAACTGAGGGGGCGGGGCTGAAACTGGATAATTCCTGAGTCTAGGTGAGTGTACTGGGGGGGGGGGGGGGGGGGGGCAGAGAGAGAGAGAAATGCTATAAGAACATCAGAATTAATGCAGAGCTTGGGTGGAGGTGCCAAGCGACACTAGCAGCTGCTTAGATTTTGCAAACCGTAAAGACTGTTTTCCTTCCCCTGCTGCCACTTTTAAACTTTCAGGTTGTTTCAGGGTGGGGGGGCTAAGGCTGATTTTCTTACGTTGAAACTATCTTTAACTATCTTTCTATGCATTTTGGAGACAGGCAGAGAAAAACCTTTTGTAGCTGGCATTAGGCACGCATAATTTTAACTTTTTCCTCCTTTGGGTTAAACTCTGACCCCAGGGGGCAGGCCACAAAA